GCCAGATAGAGGGAGGGGAGATAGAAGGAGAAAGAGAGATTAGTTGTAGTTTTTGTAATTTTACACACCCATTAATACAAGTCAGGTGGTTTGGGGGGGTGGGGGGATCAGTTGTAATTTATATGGAGAGAGAGAGAGATAGCGAGAGAGAGACAGACAGGAGAGAGAGACTGGGAGAGAGAGACAGACTGGAGAGAGAGACTGGGAGAGAGAGACTGGGAGAGAAACAGACAGACTATAAGACAAAGAGAAGAGACATAGAAAAAAAATAAACAGAGAAAGAGCCGGTCACCCCCCTTACACACCCCCATCCCCACCACCTCGTCACCCCATCACCCCCGTCATCCATCACCCTAGAGAACATACTCTCTTCCTCCTGGCATGCGACGTGTCTGCGTCGGGAACAGCCGACCTGGCAACCCTATCCATCCAGTCCTTCACGTGGTCCACACCGCACGATCCCAGACTCTCCGATGAACGCTTGTGTCTGAAGACAACGACGACAACAAAGAAAATAACAGTGCGAAAAAAATTATTGGGAGTTTTTTTTGGTAACAATAAAAATAACTACCAAAAAAAAATTAAAATATGCCAAATCTTTTTTACAACAACATGAATAACGATAAAAACATCTATCGTCCTTATCTCTCCTTTTATTTTATGTTTGTTACTCTCTTGTAATTGAAATAACCACAAGAGGCTACCCCAGGAGAAGGAATGGTGGAAAGTGTTTGTTCCTGGCCTGTATCCTGACCCAGGCGGAGAAAAGCAATGATGATGACTCTGTTGTAACTTGTCTTGTAACACCTCTAGTCCCTCTTGTAACACCTGTAATCTCTCTTGTAACACCTCTAGTCCCTCTTGTAACACCTGTAATCTCTCTTGTAACACCTCTAGTCCCTCTTGTAACACCTGTAATCTCTCTTGTAACACCTCTAGTCTTCAGCGCTTATATGACCTAGACTAATTGCGTTCCAAGTGCTGTGAAACTCTCACCAAAACAAAGACTTTATTTTTACTGTTTTGTGACACAGTGTCAAAGCGTACCTGAAGGGATCTTTGTCCATTCTAGACTCGGGGTAAATGACTGAATGGAAACTGGGTCGGTCGAAGTACTGCTCCGCGGCGTCTATGTGGTAGATGGTGTCGCCAGGAATGTGTACGTGGCCCCGCATTGAGCCGTTGATGATTGCCACATGAGCATAACTTTTTGGAACGCCTGGGAAAACAAAACCAAACATAAAATATCATATTGTACAAGCAAAACTGTTAGGGATGCCTGAGAAAAAATTATTTTTTTTCAAATCTCCTGTACAAGCGGCAACTTACTATTCCCCCCCCTCGCTGTTATTGGGTGGGGGATTTTTCATGATAAAGACCCTGTGTTAGCCGTCCCCTGTCTAAGTGGACCTACCGTTTTTCTCCTTGACAATGGGTCGTTGTGCTGGACAATCTCAACTGTACTTTCCTACTAGGCTGTAATAGCAGTTTGTGTGAAAGAGATGGAAAATTTCACATTTGAAGTGTGGAGATTAGAGGTGGGCAAAAATCCAGATAACCTATTCGGATAAACAGATTATTCTCAATTAAACAACTATCCGAATTCAGACTCAGACTCTTAACTCTCTGTCCTAACCCGTTTCCCGAAGTCGGTGCACCCATTTGTCGAAGTGGTTCTAACCCGTTTATCGAAGTGATTTTAACCCATCTGCTGAAGCGGTTCATAACACATTATTTGCCAAAGAGGTGCACTAACATATTATCCGGATTTTGCTAAAGCGACTCATTGCCCAGCCCTAGAGGAGATATACGTACCCTGCACGTGGCCCGAGTAGATAAAGGACGTATCAACAGGCGCCGCGAAGTCCGGCCCATCTTCCAGGAAGTGATCCGGACTAAATATATCTCGGTCCGGCTTTAAAAGCAGTGGGAAATGTCTGGAGGAAAAAAACAACAAATAAACAAGCAAAATCATTATATGAGAACATTTGTTGATCAAGTAACAGAATAAAGGATTGACAAGAGAAGATTCATCAAGTTCTAAAGGAAGTTTGCACAAAAGAAAATTTCACACAAACATATAACATGCATGTGAGCACAACTAGAAATGCTGTGTCACCTCAGTTGAATGGGGTGGAAGGGTGGCGGGGGGAGAGTTTAAAAAATCAGTTGGGAGCCCAGAATGAGGGATGTGATGGGTGGGGAGAAAATCAGTACGTAATGAATGTTCAGAAACAGAAGAAAAATATATATCATTATAATAATGTGAGAAATTTCCACAGCAAGAAGAATGAAATGGCAGAGATCTCCCTTGTCCCCAATAAGCTACAGCTAAGGGCAAACCTGTTGTAAGCCCGGAAGTTAATCCTCAGCGTCTTGTCCAGCGAGCGCCTCACACGTTCGTGGTTCCTGTGTAGATTGTCCAACGACAACCTCTGGTAGTCCAGGATGTACTCGTCGAGTTTTTCCGCCCCTGAGGACAATGACATTATATAGATTATATCGACTTATACTTAGGCCTACAGGTTACAGTCGTTTTTACAAAAATAATACCATCATTCATCATCATGGACCATGGCTTGGGCTTTTTAGCAAAAATACATTTAAATTCTGAGATTCAAGACCACCCGCTGATATAAATATCAACTGTCCATCCTTGATCTTTATCATTTACTCGTCTAGATCTAAGTATAACAAAGGATGAGCTAATCGTTGGGTCTAAAAGCACCACCTGCCAGCAAAGTAACCATTCTTCTAGCAGAAGTCAAGTCAGCTGAACGGAGTGGACTTACCACAGTAGTGCACGGCGACAAACAGGTGTAAAATCTCTAAAGAATATAAAATTCTTAAAAGCGAAAGCTTTAAGCCAGAACTAGATAAAAATTCCACCATTTTCGCTTTTATTCAATCATAACTGGCTGCTGTTCATGTCTGGTTTTACAAGATTTGTTTATGATAATTGATCTGATGGGTCGGGTCTGTTTTCCTTTTGTTCTATTATTTCCTGATTCCGCACGCGCATGCGCACACTATGCTCGTACAGCTATTGATCTGATTCGCAATTTAATTTTTCTTCCGAAAAAGTAATAGAAATAGTATAATGCTCTCTCTCTCTCTCTCTCTCTCTCTCTCTCTCTCTCTCTCTCTCTCTCTCTCT